TAGGGCCCATGCACTTGGTGGAGAAAGAGAGAAAATGAGAAAGCATCCCTTGGGGGGATGGCCACGCAGCAGTCTCTTCACCTTCATTCTCGTCTCAGGGTTTGGGGCATGAATGCACACCCATCAACTGTGTTCTCCAAGCCACTGAGTCCAGAACTCGAACCACTTAGTCAGCCATGTGGGATCCAGCTGCCTTAACCACCACACCACCAGCTGACCCTAGTTGACTTTTTTAAATTGTTGGTTTGGTTTTTTTCCTTCATTCTTCCTCTCTTTTCAGGTTTTTGCTATAGGATGCATATGCTCACCAGAGAGATAGAGAGGGGGAAAGTGAGAAATCACTCCCCAGAGAGAATGGCCACGCCACAATCCATTTTCCTCCAGTCTCCTCTTGGGAGTTTGGGCCAACATACACATCTGCCCAGCATGATTTTCAAGCCACCTGTTCCAAGACTCAAACTATGGTCAGCCACTTGGGAATCCAGTGCCTTAACAACCACACCTGCTAGCTCCATTCTTGAGAGCTCTTTAGGGATCAGCAATTAGTGTAATGGCTTTGTCACTGGACTCCCATGTAGTCGACCGTGGTTCAAGTCCCGGACCCAGTGACTTAAACTCACGCTGGGCACTTGTGCGTGTGTGCCCAAGATCCCAAGAGGAGAATGGAGGAGAAGGGATTGTGGTATGGCAATCCCCCCTGGGGGGTAATTTCTCACTTTCTGTCTCTGTCTCTCTCTGTCTTTCTGGTGAATGCACACGCCCTATAGCAAAAATCCCTCAAAAAAAAAAAAAAAAAAGAGATCTTTACATGTTAGTTTTTTAGTCCCTTGTGATATTGGCCATATCTCACCGCAGATTTTTGGTTTTTACCTCTTTTGAATCTTACAGTTCTTCTGCATCACTTGCAAATAGAGACAGTTGTACTTCTTCGTCTGATTTTCATGTCTCTTAATTGTTATACTGCATCACTTGCAAATAGAGAGAGTTGTACCTCTTCGTCTGATTTTCATGTCTCTTAATTGTTTTCTCTTATTTGATTACTTTGGCTAATACTTCCAATAGTGAAAATCGCCTAGCCACTTGTGTTATTAATACTTACAGAATAGTTTAAAAGGGTGAACATACGTCAGTATGACTTCACAAAAGAACATCATTCCCAAACGCATTTGCTTTTTCTAAAAATAGGTTTACTTGGCAGAGAGGCCTAAGAAGGGGTTCTGCGGTCTGGTATTCTCCACCATCCTGCCTGGATTTAAATAAAGAGAAAGAATTGTTTCCAAAGTGTGTAGTTTCATTGTTCTAATCTCAGCATCCTCCTGGAAAGACTTCTCTTATATAACATTGTTGAATGCATGTTTATCACATTCCATGACCTGCTATCCTAGCAGGCTTATGATGAAACACAGAATGAAAACCCAAAAACAATTAGATTTGAAAAGAAATGACTGATACGAGTACAGAATTGGAACACTACTCTGGTGAGTAATTCTGGTCTTCACGTGACAAAATCTGTGGTTTCGGATGTCTGTAATGAAACAGGAAACACCTCTTTGATATGGCACTTCTGGAAATGCTTAAAGGAGCTTTCTTCCCCTTTGGCCAATTACAGAGACGCAGGAGAAAGAGGCTGGAATTCTCTAACAGAAACCCCTGGCAAATTAGTCTCCAGAGCCTCATGACAGAAGATCCAAAGGTTACCATTCGTCATCACTCAGGGCTCTGCTATATATATTTTTCTTTCCAACTTTTCTTCCTTATTTAATGAGGATTGAATAATCATTGAATATATCCTTGATTCTTACCTCTCAGTGGAGACTCTTACTGTCTCTCTGCACCCTGGCAGGGTCTAGAAAGTGAATGGAAATTTGAGCTGGGGTGAGTCAGTGACTCTGCAAGTCTCATCTGCATTTTAGTTTTCCTGGATGCATTTTACGACCCACAGAATGTCCCCAGGAGATGTCTTGGAAACTGAAGGTGAGGGGATTCTAAACTAATTCAGTGTCAGATGATGGCCGGTGGGGAGGGAAGAGCCACTGTCAGAGGAGGCAAGATCCCCCGCCCCCATCCAAGTGAAGACACCCACATGCACACGCGCTTAGTGGTGTTCAGTGATTCATTCGTGCCTAATATTTAGAAAATTTATATGAACAAAGTGATGTCAATAAAAAACGTGACTCCAGAGAAATCCCTTCCCTTTCTGATCTCAGCTTAATCGGTCCCTGCTGCTGACCGTGACTAAGAACCGATGGCTGTCACCTAATTAGGCATTTTGACAGTTTTTCCCCCAAACATCCCTAGATGGGGACTGGTTCAGTTTTGGTTTTAAAAGACTTCAGTACTCCCCGCAGATAAGTCATGTTGGTGTTTATAAGGTGGCCTGAACTTATACTCAGAAAATTGGATATAAATATTTACCAGGGATCTCGGCAGTAAACACAGCTTCTTTTATTTATAAATTTAGGATTGGTACAAGTAAATATTTCAGTTTACTGTGTTTTGTTTTCAAAACTAATCCTCTTTTGGAACCAGCAGTTAGCATAATGGCTATGTCACTGGACTCCCATGTAGTCAACCACGG